CTGAGCAGTAGCAGTATCCCTTACATGTATTTGTAGAAAAATAAAATATTTTTATACAACCTCCCTCACTTAACGGAGTTCCGTGCCTAAGACCACGTCTTTAAAATGAATTTTTGAGGGTCAAAATGGGTGGAGACTGGTCCCTTTTTTTAAAAAACATGGGGGAAGGAGAAGTGAAAAAGGGCCTTAACAATCACACAGTCACGGGAGACGTTTTCCCAGAGGTAAGACGAACATTAAAAATCCCAAAAGGGGGCGAAGTAAGGAAAAACCAAAATGAAACACCCTGGGGATAAAGAACAAAGAGCAGACTGCATACCACTTGTTCAGTAGAACACGCTGCGGTGTAAAGTAAGCATAAGCCCTGAGGTAGGTAAATCGGTTTTGTACAAGTGCACTTATATTAAAACTTTTCCAGGGGGAAAAGGCCCCTGATGAATGTAATAAGAACAGTCCTAGATGGGATGGATAACAGGGGAGTGCATTTAGGTTCTTGTAAACAACACACAACCGGGAAACACGGGGAGAAAAAACCCCTGAACCTGATTTCCGTTTACCCTTCGGCCCGAATATTTCATTGTAAATAAGCTGATATCTGAAAAAAAAGTATACTGGAGGATACATGGGAGCCCGTTTCGGGGTTGTAAAGGCTACATATGGAGGTAGGGGGAAAATTAGAAAGCGAAAAAGGATTAGAATGCTTGAAGAAAGGGAAGGTAAAATTTGAAAGGTTAAAAGGGGATGAGGAAAAGTAATCTTTTCAAATTAGTTTTGCCCCCCTCAGTATATTCAGAGATGGCTTAAAGCTTTTTCAGACGAAAAGGGACTTTTGCAGGTAGTAAATAAGAGAAAGAAGATGGGGGGGTTGAGTAAAGACGGAAGACGATGGGTGTTCTAAAGATGAGGGGAATGAAAGAAGTGGGAATTGGGAAGAAACCGGGAGAGGACAGGAGGGGCAGAACTTAGAGTGGGGACAGGAAAGAAGGGGGGAAAACATGAGGGGGGTGGAGTACTAGGGCCGACTGGGGAAGCAAAATGTTTTTGGAAGGTCATACTCCGCTTTATAATATTAGTAAGGCCCCACCTTGGGTTTATGGAGTTTCTGGTTCCCGTATTACAAAAAAGGGGCATAAATTCGTTTAAAAAAATTCCGAGGTGACTAAATTAATACTAGCATCAGAATTTTTCCCCTTATGAAGAAAGTTGAAGCCTTAATTACTTCATTTTTTAGACGGAAAAAGAGGGGAACCTGATCGAAGTGTTAATGGAAGAAGATTATAAAGGGGGTATTAAATAAGCTTGAGGATTGTCTCTCCAAAGAGAAACCCCCAGTAATGGGGATTTAAATTAATAAGTTTAGATTTAGAAAGGACATAGGGGAAAATATTGGGTTTGGGAAATAGGGGAGTTGATGAGTGGGGAAAAGTCTACCTAGTTGGGTTATTGAGGGTGGGGCTTTGGGGGATTTCAAATTAGGTTGGATAAGTCATTGGGGGGGGTTGGATTTGGGGTGGCTTTTTCCTTTTATTGCTTATTTTTTGGGTGGCATTGAAAATTGGGTTGGTCAAGTTTTGTTAGGGGGAATGAATTGAAAAGGGAAACCTGCCTATATGGGCCAGCAGGCCTCCTGCAGTGTTCCTCCTTTCTTATGTTCTTATGTTTTTATGAACTTTGGTGAGGGTTTTTGACTTTGGAGAAGCTGGGATGTGAGGTGATGGTGTAGTTGTGGAAGGTCTTTTTTTTTTTTATTATTATTATCACACCGGCCGATTCCCACCAAGGCAGGGTGGCCCGAAAAAGAAAAACTTTCACCATCATTCACTCCATCACTGTCTTGCCAGAAGGGTGCTTTACACTACAGTTTTTAAACTGCAACATTAACACCCCTCCTTCAGAGTGCAGGCACTGTACTTCCCATCTCCAGGACTCAAGGTCTTGTAGACAGAAAAATGTGAGCGAAAAGATGAAGACGCAAGGACAGTGTGAGTTGACAAGATAGGGACCTTCAGAGCCCAGGGCTGCAAAAGAGTTAGATACAGAGGTGACTGGAAGTTATGACCACATAGGAAATTGTAGAAGTAAGTACCACCGAGGTTGGGGGCCGCCTAGTAACTCTAGAATAAGAAAACCATGAAAGTCTCCCTTAGAGGCAGAGATGGGAGACTGCCATGGTGTAAAATTTTCTCTATGAACAGAGAATTTTCTTGTTCCTTTAAGAAAACTTGGCAACAACGAGAATAAGCTGGGTGAGCCTCATTACAATTTAAGCAAGAGGGAGAGTGGGCTGCAGGATTATTGTTATGGTCAACGGGGTCATTCCTCCAGGGACCTGCAATATTTCACTGGTGGGCCAAAGCGCCAGCAATTTGTACATTGTTGTGGTGTAGAATCAATTCCCCATACTTGTAAACATTGTCCCGCAATATGTACAGAGGATGGAGGTTCACAGCAGTCAAAAGTTAACTGAGCTATATTGCAGGCAAACGTCTCTGATCGCAGACAAGTAGTACATAAAATAAGTATCTAAATTGTTGCAAAATGTCAGCATTTCAGTCGGAAATCACGTTGAACATGGTATGGGGAAAAGAACTAAGGAAACCACCGTAAGAAATTAAGAGACGTGTTTATGAATCGTGACTGGAATAGTGTCAATGGAGGTAAGATGGGAAAGATTGCGATCTGACCACATTTTGTACCATGAGAGCATACACCACTCTTAACCCTTAAATGGCCCCAAACGTATTTTATAAGTTTTTTCACATCGAAAGTACGTAAAAAAATGTAGACCTTTTTTTGTTTTACATTTGAAAATGTGTAAAAAAAATTTTATGTACATTTTTTTTTTTTTTATATTTGAAAATATGCAAAAAAAAAGTAGATTACTTTTGTAGCTACGAATTTGAACGTCGTTCTGTTTGGGACCGTTTAAGGGTTAAGAGCATAAAATTAAATATCTTCACAACATGACATAGGAGTGACTTGCTGATACGTATTATAATCAAAAGACAGTCGTAGGACATGTCAGTTGTAATGGAAAAACTTAGTCCACTGCACACCTGAAATGCATTGTAAGGGCAGTGTTCTGTCGGTCTTTTCTAGGAAGGGTGAAAGGAAACCTAGACAGTGTTATCTGTTAATATTTTGTAGTCGTTTAGGTGTGGGACTGGAGGGGGCCAATCAAAAAGAGAAAGGGGTCTGGCAGGAGGAATTTCATGGGCATGGGGCTCCATGGTTAGTTTCCCTTTTCATTTATTTTTGAAAAAAAAAAGAGAAAAAAGTGGGGTACATGGAGGGTAGCTCCTAGCAGGAATGAAAGGGATCACATATCTCCCTCTGCACCCAAGGGGGCTCTCAGTGTGACCAGTAGTGCAGATGTGGTGTGGAACCCTTGACCTACACTACCCTTCCTGTCCCCTACATTTACCCTTCCCATGCCCTACACTACCCTTCCCATGCCCTACACTACCCTTCCTATGCCCTACACTACCCTTCCCATGCCCTACACTACCCTTCCTGTGCCCTACACTACCCTTCCTGTGCCCTACACTACCTTTCCCATGCCCTACACTACCCTTCACATGCCCTACACTACCCTTTTCCCATGCCCTAAAACTGCCTTCCAGTGACATACCCAACACTCCTTTGTCAGTAAACTGGCAATCCAGGATAACATCCTCGTATCCATAAAGTCACCTTGGTGAACAAAAGAGAAAGCAGTTGGAAGCCCACCACAAGAAATACCTCCAGCAGCCTCCACCTCCCAAAACCCTCCAAGCAGCCCCAGAGATACAACCGTCACTGAAGGATACCCTAAACTGCCCCCTGGAAC